CTTCACCCTCTGCGCTCCGGAGGGAGTGTGGGGCGCGCGCCCGGCCTCTCCCGCAGTCTCTGCTCTGGGTCTTCTGGGCAGTGGCGGAGGCTTGCGCGTTGGGCGGGGACTCGGGACACTGGGTGACAGCCCTGCTGCCCCCAGGGATGTGGCTTACACATAACAAAGGAATCCGCTGTGTCGGGCCTCTCTTTTCCCTTCTGTAAAATGAGGCCGTGGAACCGCGTTTGACTTTCGATCTTCTCCACCTGGAGGAGTCTGGAACGCTTGTATCGGCACGTCTTCTCCAGGCAACGTTTCCCCGGTAGCTACTCCCAGTCCCGATTGCCTGGACAGTTCGCTGGATGTTTTCGCCCCCATTTATTCGTGCCTGGTTAGATAAGGAAAGGGCTGGGGAGTCGGCGGCATGGACGCGGGGTCTTGGGTGGGCCCCAGGAGCGGACTCAGAGGCTGGGGAGGAACTTGGAAAAGGGCTGCCTCCTGGTGGGGAGTCTCCTGATTTCCTCCCTCTCGCGGCCTTGGCCAGAGGCTGTATCTTCCCTGGTCCTCCTCTCCCCCGCCCAGGAGGCCTCCGGCGGCCAGCTGGGCCTCCTGCGGGATGGTGGGGGATGCCTCATGTTCTTCGAGGCTCTGGCAAAGGGGTGTCCATTGGCAGTCAGGCCAAGGACTCTTCCGGGAGCCCCTTTATCATTTTATCATAGAAATAAGATTGACTGAAGCAAGGTAGGTCACAGCCGGGCTCCAACCCTACCATGCTGTGACTCCCCTGTCCCCCAAGGCTGGAGCTTTGAGAGTGCTCCTTCCTCCCAGGAACATGAAAGACAGGCGGGTCTTCACAGTCCCTTTCTAATCCTCCTCTCTGTCTGCCCAACCTGAGCCCTGGCCACATGTCCCTGGGAAAATCTCTCAAGGAGCAGGACCCTGAAGTCCCACAGGTTGTTCTGTAGAGGGTGGTCTGGCTTTTCCTGGAAGGGAGAAACACCACAGCTGCCTTACACCAGGTGACCCAGACCCTGCCAATCTAAGGCCTTTGGAACAGGACACCGTTGGAACTGGTACAGTTGGGAGGGGAGGAAGAGTCCATCCCCAAGCCTGTGTGTCAGTGCCCGCAGCAGCCTGCCAGGTCAGAGGAGGGGATTACCTGCTATTTAAAGCCAATGACTAATAGCTGTTGGGAGCCGCCTTTAAGCTCCCGAGGTCCTGCTGAGGTGGAGATCTCTGGGCTGATCTCTTCCCTACAGCTGGGTGAGCTCTCTGGGGCTTTGGAATTTCAGGAGGACCCCCCAGCCTGGGATGGGTGACTTTGAACAGAGGAGAAAAGGTTTTTCATGTCTTACTCCAAAGGATGGATTTGAGTCTGAGGTCTGGGGCAGCCCTTCTGGGATGCTAAGGTCAGCTAGAGGATCCTTTTGGGGCTCGGCTGCCTCAGTGGACAGCACTTCACCGGCTGAGTATCAGAGTCGAGAGTGAGGACAGTCTGGAGTGAGATGGGCTTCTGAGGAAGTGGACCAGGAGCCTAGCCTTCAAGGAACTCCCTTCTGGGATGAGAGCAGGATTTGAGGGCCACTTGGCAGCCCCACATAGTGTCCTGCAGTGTCTGTCTTACCCCAGCCTGTTCTTCCTCCTGGGTTCTCCATCAGGGCTGATAGTGCACATCTGTAACCCAGGCCTCATCCAGAAGTCTTGGTGGCCTCTCTAGCCCTTATCCCCCAGCAGCTCTTAAATCACCCTGCCTCCTCACCCCTCTGCCCTGCCTTCCTCTCTCACCATGCTCTCCTGCCTTCTTCCTTTACCCTCGTTGGTGGGATGGATATCCATCCCGTGGCCAGAGGGATCTGTCTTCAGTCATTAGACCCTCCCCACCCCAGGGGAGCCATCAGCATCCTTGTACTTGGACCTTTCAACCTCCTTTCTGGAATTGGAATCAACTTCCTGCTTCCACCTGACAATTGAGAAGCTTCCTGCTTCTTGTCGTTTTTTCTTTCCCAGTGGATAAGGGCGAGGAGGCTTAAGGAAGGTTAAAAGCCACTGGTGTGCAGGATGACAATCTAAACATTCTTAAGGTCCCTCCCAGTCTGGCCCCAGCCCTCTTCTGGCCACATCTTACTATGTTCCAGCATACCATGCCTGCCGTCTGTGTTTCGACTTTTAGAATGTTCTTTCCTTATTTCCCACCCTGGCTCCTTTCTACTCTTGTCTTTTAACCCCAGCTCAAATGTCCCCTCCTCCGGGAAACTTCCATCTCCCGGCAAAAATCACCTGTAGTGGCAGCCTCGGCTGGTTTCTGTTAGGCATGGGGCACCTCGTCATCGTCTGTGGACTTGCTCGCCTCTTTCCTGTCAGCTGCTTGAGGCTGCACCTGAGTTCTGTGTCTCGGGGGCCCCCCAGATGTTTACTGGGTGATTGATTTGCTGAGTTGGGGCTGCCGTTGCAGGTGACATCTGTGACTCCAACCAGTGCCTGAATGGTGGAACCTGCTTTGTGGGCCAGGACAATGCCTCCTTCCACTGCCTCTGCCTCGAAGGCTTCATGGGCCTCATTTGCAACGAGACTGAGACTACTACAGAGATACCTACCCACGGCCTTACCTTCTTCACCACACCCCCAGCTGCCACCTCTCCCCCAAGTTTTGAGACTGAGATTACTACAGAGATACCTACCCAAGGCCTTACCTTCTTCCCCACACCCCCAGCTGCCACCTCCCCCTCAAGTGTTGAGACTGAGACTACTACAGAGATACCTACCCAAGGCCTTACCTTCTTCACCACACTACCAGCTGCCACCTCCCCCCGAAGTGTTGAGACTGAGACTACTACAGAGATACCTACCCAAGGCCTTACCTCCTTCACCACACCCCCAGCTGCCACCTCCCCCCCAAGTGTTCAGTGGTCCCATGCACCTCTCCTGTTGTCAGCCAGCATTTCTCTGGGTACCCCCAGGCCACTTGGAAGGCTGGGCTCTCCCACTTTTGGGTCACCTACACTTGACCCTCCTTTGGCTCCAGGCTGGCTCAGGGTCCATCGAGCAGATTGGGGGGGTGGGGGGAGAGGGAGGAGATGCTGGGCTGAATCTGGGTGGAGGGTCCTTTTGGGCTAGGCCTATCTCTTGCTTCCTGTCTCTGTCCCTAGCTCCTTCCTGATCAGCTGCCTCTCTGTTTCCAGATCCCTGTTCCCCAAACCCCTGCTTCAACAATGGTGAATGCCAGGTGACTTCCGAGGAACGGCGAGGGGACGTTTTCACCCAGTATACCTGCACGTGTTCTCAGGGCTACATGGGCACCCACTGTGAGACCCGTGAGTATCTGGGGAGTGGGCTGCTCCTGGGGACAGAGCCTGAGCCACAGCCCTGGTGGCACAGACCCTGTGCTGATCCTGTTTCCTGTGTCAAGGCCACCTCTGGGGAGATAGGGGGAGGGACAGAGCCTCAGTTAGGCCAAGGGGCAAGAAAGGTCCTGCCGTCCCTCCATGGTCTCCTTTCCACCTGGCCTTCTCTCCTGGGATGCAGGTCAGGCCGGATGTCACTGCAGGGGAGTGAGGGGTTGTGGTCACCCTGGTGATTATGGGAGTGCTGTTTCTTGAGTTGCCATGAGCTAGACACACAGCGTTAGGGTTAAGTCTTGGGAATTTTCTAATTTTCTACCTAAGAAGGGACAACAAACGCATTCTTAATCTTCTCGGGCTAAGGAACTCAGTAAATCAGGCTTGGCCTCAGGGTCTGATGGTTCCTGGCCCAAGTTTGACTTGTGGCCTCATCACAGAGCTGGGGAGAAGGGTGAGGCCTGGGCAGATCGGGCTGGTCCCTCCTGGTCAGGTGGTCAGAGGTCCTTTGTGTGCAGAAGGACTGTCCCTGTTTCACCTGCTTGGCTGTCCACTCAGCCACAGAATGGCCCTGGGTGGGGTGCCCAGCTAACATCAGTTCTTTGTGCTGTCCTTCTTCCTGGACCAGCTCGAATCCCTCCCACAAGTGCTCCCACCCACATCGAGACTCCTCCTCACCTGCTTTTGGGTGAGTTGGTCGCCACATTCATGCCAGGGATGGGAGGAGTGGGGGGCTCCCAGGTTTCTGTAGACCAGTGGGTCAGTTGCTGAGCACTTTGGGCCAGGGACAAGCATCTTGTCTCTTTCAGGCAGATGTGGGATGTTCTAAGGTTTGCTGACCCACAGGAGGAGGAAGGGAGGGCTTGGGCCCGCTGGGTGGGAATGGGGCCCCTGGGGAACAACAGGTAAAGTGCCTGGATGTCCTTTACCTTGGTGGGGGGGAGTATTGAGGGCCCCGGCTGAGGCCAGATGTGTTTGAGATCCTGGTGGAAAGACTGTGTGTGTGGCAGGGAGAGGGATTGCTAAGGTGACAGCGCCCTGGGCAGGGCCAGGTGGTCCTGCTGATTACTGTCCTGAGAGCTGAGGTAACCAGGCGTGAGACTGAGCTGAGATTCTCCATCTAGCCTTCTTCTGACCTCTCAGCCTGGTGTCTGCCCCAGGCTGCACCTGGGGAGAAGGGAGGGGGTAGAACCCCCCAGAAGGACCTTTGCAGCCTTTCCTTGTTGGTCATGTATGTTTCCTTGGAGCCATCAGGACCCTGCAGGCCCAAAGAAAGCACATGGTGGGATGTGAGGATAGTCCTGGGGGCAGACTGGGGTCAAGTCTCTGCCCGGCTGCTGGCCAGCTCTGACCTTGGACTGCAGGCTTTACTCTGTGGCTTACTATCCCTGCTGGAGTAGCCTGAGCTTCCGATGTTGACATCAGGCTAGATCTATCCCTGGGTTCTCTGCTTGGCTCACACACACGCCATGGGGACTCCTGGGACCACACTGCTGTTCATGGTGAAGGGGAGGGGACCTGGCTGGGGGCACGTTCGCAGGTGGCTGGGTGAGGACCCAAGGTGGGAGGTGCAGTGAGTCCAAGGGAAAACAGAATGGCGTTTGTGTCCCACCCAGGGGACTCCTGCCAGTGGCATTCTGGAAAACTCCAGGCAGATTTGCTTATTGCTTTGTGGGCAGTGCAGGTCCTGTGTGCTGCCGTCCAAGGTACCTCTTCTCCTAAAGCCACCCTCCTGGGTAGGCCAAGGACTGAACCGCGGTTGGTGACCTTTCCTGTGGGGATGAGAGGAAGAGGAGGCCACACTGGAATTCCTTCCCCTCAGTCCAACCCCCACACCAGCATCCTTGCTGCTTAGTGCCCTGTGAGGATGAGATCACCTGCCACAGCCTGGAGGGAGACCCCACCTTCCACGAGGACCCCGGGTCCCAGCGTCCCATGACTCGGCCCCCACCTCTTCCTTCCTGCACTGCCATGCACATGGCACCCCCTCCATGGCACTGCCCTCATTATCCTTCATTATCCCTGGTCTCTGCTCTGGGTGAGGCTCTGAGGTTCTGTTTGGCTCTGAGTCCTCGGCAGAGGCCACATGGTCTTATTCTGCTGCCCTCTGGGTCCCAGCCGGGTCCTGCAGTCTGCTCAGGTGGGCACCTTTCTGCCATCTCCCTCCCCAGAGTGCCTCACACCACTGGGCATGGAGCAGGGCGCCATTGCCGACTCCCAGATCTCTGCCTCATCTGTGCACTTGGGCTTCTTGGGTTTGCAGCGCTGGGGCCCAGAGCTGGCCCGCCTACACCTCACAGGCATCGTCAATGCCTGGACGGCCAGTAACTATGATAAGAACCCCTGGATCCAGGTATGGAAAGGGGACAGCCCCAGGCGAGCTGGTGGGGGTGGAGAAGGTGGGTGAATGTGCCGCACTGGGGGCTCCCATGGGGGGTTTTAACTGGGGTTCAGGTACCAAGGGAGCAGGTTCCCCGGGTGAATGTCTAAATGGAAGACAACCTTGGGGGCCTGGAGTGGGTGGACGGGATAGGGGGGAGCAGGCCCAGGCTGTGGAGGTGCCATCTGCCCTGGGTGAGGCCTCGGGGCAATGGCCCCCTTGTGTGCTTCCCTGAGCCATGGGGTCTATAGCCTGAGAGGCCCAGAGGGGGAAGCCCCTGTGAGGGCAGTTGTTCTACTTGTGTTGCTCCCCCCATGTTGGGGGAGTGAGGGGTAGGTTGGCCTGGATCTTGGTTGAGAAGAACCAGGGAGACGAGGGTGCCATCTTCCTTGCCCTGGGTCCAGGTGAACATGCAGCGGAAGATGCGGGTGACGGGTGTGGTGACGCAGGGTGCCAGTCGTGCGGGGACTCATGAGTACCTAAAGACCTTCAAGGTGGCCTACAGCCTTGATGGACACACGTTCAGCTTCATCCAGGATTCAGAGAAATTGGGAGACAAGGTAGGGCTTGCTGGGCCCTGAAGCAGTGTTAATAGCACCCCCTGGGCTTCTAGCACTGAGGGCCCCCACTGAGGGGAGGGTATCTGGGGGATTGGTCGTGATGTGGGTCTTAAGGTGCATCTTGGGTTCTAGAAATTGGGAAAACCAGATTGTGCCTGTGTTCTGCAGTTACAAGTAATTATCTCACTTTATAGATGAGAATGGTGAGACTCAAAATGGTACAGTGACCTGTTGAGAGTGGTGGTGGTGGAGCTGGGTTTCATCCTAAGTCTTCAGGACTACATGTACAGTTGTGCAGATTGTATACTGTTCAAGGATTCATTACTAAGGGGAACCACTCATAATACATTGTATTTTGAACTTCTGCCAGAAAATTGTCATAATAAAATGTCTTGAGAATGCCAGGCATGGTGGCTCACACCTGTAATCCCATCACTTTGGGAGGCAGAGGTAAGAGGATTGCCTGAGCTCAGGGGTTTGAGACCAGCCTGGGCAACTTGGTGAGACCTCGTCTCTCCAATAAATAAAAAAAATTAGTGCGGGCATGGTGGCACGTGCCTGTGGTTCCAGCTACTTGGAAGACTGAGGCGGAAGGATTGCGTGAGCCCAGCAGGTTGAGGCTGCAGTGGCCATTGAGCATGCCCTGCCCGCCAGCCTGGGCGACAGTGAGACTCAGACTCAAAAAAAAAGTCTTGACGTTCCCTAATTTACACCGAGGCAGCCTATAGGTTATAGGTGACCCTGTGTGAAAGATAGGGGTTCATGCCCAGGCCCCATGATGATCGAGGAAGGTGAGAGGAGAATCTGTGGGTTGTGGGGTGGCCAAAGGAAGGGTGGCTGCCTGAGCCCTGCTGGCTCTGCTGAGTCCTCTCACCGTTCCAGCCACATCTCTACCTCTCAGGTCTGAAGAGGAGGGTGAAGCCACCCCAGGAAGGGAGACTGCCCACGTGGAAGCACGCTGCCAATCTTGCCCTTCCCTCTTAGGTGTTTGTGGGTAACGTGGACAACAACAGCCTGAAGATCAACCTGTTTGAGGTCCCTGTGGAGGCGCAGTATGTGAGGCTGTTTCCTGTGAGTTGCCACTGGGCCTGCACCCTGCGCTTTGAGCTTCTTGGCTGTGAGTTGAACGGTAAGTGCCGGGGGCTGTGGCCAACCCTAGGGGATGGCCTTCCCTGCCCCTTTACTTAGCCAGGCTGGGCTGGTAGGGCAGTTACAAGGCCTGGAGACCTGGGCTCACACAGGAAACACACACCAGGGGGTCGCCCAGCCACCAGCAGTCCTGCTCAGGTGTTTGCTGTTGCCAACCCATGGCCTGGACATTCTGGTAGGGAGAGGAGAAGATATCACTTTAGTTTTCTTTCTTTTTTTTTTTAATTATAAAATGTGGGGTACAATTTGGGGTTAGGTATATAAATGTTGATTATGCAGGTATCCTTGTTGATGAGGTGTGCCCCTCCCTCCCCTAGCAGTTTCCCTCAACTGCCAATCTCACCCCCTCCCCTGACAGTTTCCCACTACTGTCAATCCCTTTCTTATAGTATAATTGTTCAAGGTCCACTTATGAGTGAGAACATATGGTACTCTGTTCTTTGTTTTTGTGATATATCACTGAGTATGCACTTTAATTTTCAAAGTATTTTCGGCTAGGTGCAGTGGCTCAAGCCTGTAACCCCAGCACTTTGACATTGCCTGAGCCCAGGGATTTGAGACTAGCCTGGGCAACTTGGCAAGACCTTGTCTCTACAATTATTTAAAAAATTAGCCAGGTGTGATGGCACATGCCTGTGGTTCTGGCTACTTGGAAGACTAAGGCGGAAGGATTGCCTTAGCCCAGCAGGTTGAGGCTGCAATGGCCGTGAACGAGCCACTGTACTCCGGCCTGGGTGACAGAGTGAGACTTCAACTTAAAAAAAAAACCCGCCAGGCTCGGTGGCTCAGCCTGTAATCCCGCGCCTTTGGGAGACTGAGGTGAGTGGATTGCCTGAGCCCGCGGGTTTGAGACCCGCCTGGGCAGCGAGACCTCATCTCTACAATAAATCAAAAAATCAGCTGGGCATGGTAGCACATGCCTGTAATTCCGGCTACTGGGAAGGCTGAGTCGGAAGGATCGCCGGAGCCCAGCAGGTCGAGGCTGCGGTGGCCGGGAGCGGCAACAGGACTCCAGTCTGGGTGACAGAGTGAGACTCCAACTCAAAAAAAAAACCCAAAAAAACAAAAAACCCCAAGTATTTTCACTGATTCTGGTTGGTAGAGAAAATTCTGACTGGTTGGTTCCTGTGGCTTCTAGAACATGTAGGATTAGTTGTGTTTTGCAGATGTCAGCTTCACGAGGCAGAAGACTCGTCGGTTTTGTTCACTGTGGTATTCTCATTGCCTAGAACAGTGTCTGTTTCGTAGGTGCTCAATACATATTTGATGAATGAGAGCATGAATGAATGAATGAGGGAAGTGAGACCCAGATACAGTACTTTAAAGGGTACACAGCTGGTAGCTATTAACACTTTGTCTAGATTTCAGGACTTTCAACCCCACCTATCCAGGGCGGTCCCTGCCAAGCTTTTTAGAGTCCACCCTCAAGAGCAGCATAGGGGCTTCCTGCTGCCCTTTCTGAAGAGATTCCTAGATGGAGAGGTAGGGGGAGCAGAAAGGGACGTTTCTGCAGAGCCAGGAAAAGCTCACCATGGCAGGATCATCGTGCAGGGTTTGGGATGATGGATTGCCTCAGCCCAGCTCAGTCCAGCTTTCCCACTGGAGGGCTGGGTATAATACCCTCTCTTTGCAGCCACAGTGCCACCTGCTGGCTATAAGTGGAACTACAAGGCTCGCTAGGCAGCGATAATGGCAGTTAAGCTGCTCACTGTCTTGTTTTACTCAAGACCCTTCCTCCTGTGCCTCCCTTTTCGCTCTTCCTGTTATCCCATTTCAGATACCACTCAATGCCTGACATTTTTTTTTAAGGAGATGGGATCTCGTTTTGTCATCCAGGCTGGAGTGCAGTGGCCTGATCATAGTTCACTGTAACCCTAAACTCCTAAGCTCAAGCAATCCTCCTGCCTCAGCCTCCTGAGTACTTCCCAGCTACAAGTGTGTATGCCACCACGCTTGGCTAATTTTTTCTAGAGATGGGGTCTTGCTATGTTGCCTAGATTGGAGTCTTTGTATATAATTACTGTACTTCATTTTGAGTTGGGGTCTCACTCTGTTGCCCAGGCTGGAGTTCAGTGGTATGATCACGACTCACTGCAGCTTCAACCTCCTGGGCTCAGGCAATCCTTCTACCTCAGTCTTCTGAGTAGCTGGGATTACAGGTGCACACCACCATGCCTGGCTAATTTTATTTCTATTTATTTATTTTTTGGTAGAGATGAGGTCTTGTTATGTTGCCCAGGCTGGGCTCAAGCGATCCTCCTGCTGCAACCTCCCAAAGTGCTGGGATTACAGATGTGAGCCCCTGCACCTGCCCTGAAGTCTTTTTTTAAGTATGAACTTGAGTTGGTGTGTCTCTTCTCCCAGGGTCACTGCCTTTTGAGCCTTATTTTTTCAGTGGGGAGTAAAAGGCTTTGCCTTATACTAAAAGGAAGTTTAGCCAACCAGTGAAGGACAGAGGCAGGTCTGTGTGTCTCTCCCCAGAGTCCCTCGCCACTTGCTGTCTAGGCCTGAAGCCCTTGGCCATCAAAGTTGCCTGCATGATTCGGCCACAGCTGGCTCCCGCTTTTGGCCAGGCTGAGCCTTGCACACCGAGCAGCAAAGCTGCCATCTCTGCTTCCTGTATTCTAGTTGGCTGCCTGTGTGGGTGGGGCTGAGGTCTGGTTATACCTGGAAATCCACAGAGGCTCTGGTGCCCTGTACCAGGATTCCTCTTTGCAGACAGGTGTGGTGTCTTTGGTGAAATGAGTAATTATTAAATTCAACCAATGTTCCTTAAGATATTTGTTAAGCTTCTCCTGAGTATCTGGCTCTCGGGAGCAACATAGGTGAGATCCTTGACCTCATGGAAGTTGCATTCTAGTGAGGGAGACAGACTGGAGGCAAGGAGCAAATAAAAGGAAGGTCAGATAGCAGAAAGAACTCTGAAGAAAAGCTAGAGGGGATGCAGTGAGGGTGATTTGGGGTGAGGGAATGGGGTAGCACTAGGATGCTGGATTGGGATGGCCCTTGGATGGAGCCTTGACTGATGGAGAGTCTGTGGCGTGAAGAGGAAAAGGCATTGGAAAGGGCTTTGCAGGCGAGAAACTGGTAGGTGCAAAGACCCTGGGGCATGTAGAAGGGTAGAAGGAAGGCCAGTGGTGCTGCAGCCTGGAGAGTGAGGTACACCTTGGTGGGGGCTGGGATCCATGGCCAGCAGTGTCACTGTCACCTAAAAGCTTCCTAGAAGCTGGGCTCGGTGGCTCAGCCTATAATCCTGCGCCTTTGGGAGGCTGAGGTGAGTGGATTGCTGAGCCCGTGGGTTCGAGACCCGCCTGGGCAACTTGGCGAGACCTCATCTCTACAATAAATCAAAAATTAGCTGGGCAGGGTAGTGCGCGCCTGTAGTTCCAGCTACTTGGAAGGCTGAGGCGAAAGGATTGCCGGAGCCTAGCAGGTCGAGGCTGTGGCGGCTGGGAGCGGCCACTGCACTCCAGTCTGGGTGACAG